AATTCATCATTCCATTTAACAGTCGTTTATGGCCGCAGAGAGTAATCTTTAGGCACTACTCTAAGTTGACAGGTGGCCTTCATTGACGCCCGAATATTTCAGCCGAAATGTGCACATGGCCCCGTCGGATATTTGGCTAATGGCTACGGATGGAAATCGCACACAAGTAAATCGGACGTAGCTGCAACTGGTTTCGTAGTCGCACACAACGCGCCACCACTGTGCCCTACCGCTTGAATTTTCGGAGCGACATTTTGACATTTTGAAAAAAAATTAAAACCACATCATGTTCATGCAACTGGTTTCGTAGTCTCACACAACGCACCACCACTGTGCGCTACCGCTTGAATTTTCGGAGCGGCATTTTGACATTTTTAAAAAAAATTAAAACCACATCATGTTCATCTGACATTACGACAAACTACAACCAAAAACTAATACTTATTTTTCGTGGACTCGGGCCAAGTCCTTCAGATTGTCGAGTCCCTATTGTGCCGAGTCCAAATCCAAGTCCTGACTGTACGAATCAAAGTCCAAGTCCGTGAAAATCGGACTCGAGTTCTCCAGCACTGTTCTCCTCATTGTTCCCAAACACACTGCAGGTATATAATCTGGAACAAAATTGAATAATATGTTAAAGTAGGTCAGAAATGACAGAATGCTCACTCCTTTTACTCCCTCCACACTTTTTCTACATTCTTCGGCAAGTATACTGGCACGTTTTGTCTATTTTTCTTCTTGCAGTAGAGGTGACGGCTGTCTATAGGATATTTCACACACCTTTCTACAGTATCACCTCTGTTTACAAAACCAACAATGGAACCCATTAGACTGAATAAAATCCTGCAACAGTGGTCTTGTAATTGAATCTACAGTGCAAACAAGGCAAAATACTGGAGCAACTACCTCTCTGTTGTTCAGTTTTCACATAAATCCTTTGATTATAGTCTGTTGCACTCCTCTGTAATTGGTTTTAAATACATATTCATATTGGGCTTATCTTCTCCAAACCAATGAGCAAAATAATTTCTCTGTGCAGTTTCATGGAAGTTCATGTATTGAACACAGTCCTGCTGCTCACTGGAATAGAAATCTGCCTCAAGATATCAGCATAACCAATAAGGCAAGCATCCATTCTACGGGTTCTGCCATAAGTTCATCACAGGGGTGGTGGCCAGTGATGAAACTTTAAAATTTTAGGGGGCGTCTGTTTCTCTACCTTCCACACTAGGAACTGTTGTGAATGGGTTTGTCAGTTTTTGGATTATCCAGAGACCTGGCTTCACAAGGAGAAAGTCTAATAATGTTGTCAGCTTGGACGAGCATACATGTATTGTTGATGATCTTCTAGGCTATGTAATATGTCCTCTGGTTTTGTAGAATTCTGCAGTTGTCTGGCGATAGGCTTTGACATGGTCAAAGTAGTAATGGTGTCATCAACATTGCACCAGAGGACCAATGACTGTTCTCTTTATGTATCAATAGCTAAAATGAGAACATCTTTTTCTTTTGGCTCATCTTCAATAATGTACATGTACACGTATAAAGAAAAGAAATGAATACAATGCCTTAGTTACATGTGTATGTTATTGCTACCCAATGCATCACCCATTTTACCGATAGCAC